TCCAGCAATCAATTTATTGAGTATCGCCATTGCTCAGCAAGCATTGTGCATCATGAGAAGATGGATGGATGGATGGATGGATGGATGGATGGATGGATGGATGGATACATAGATGATATAAATAGACATAGGTGAGAGATGAGAAAGAGAGAGAGATGAGAGCATGATGGATAGGTGATAGATAAATGATGGATAGATACAGAGACAGACAAAGTATAACCCAGTCTACCTGGAAAGACAAGAAAGATACGTGAAATAATTAGGGGAGATACCAAAGAGCACGTAGAATGTGTGTTTTAAGAACTCTAATCCCTGGACGACTTCAGAGATAGGGAAGAGTACAGGGCACGCTGGTCGGGAACATCCTGGAGGATGTGAGACCGAAGGCTGTTTAAGGTTTGGGTGTTGCCAAACAGGGCATGTGCCATTTTAACACCGCCTAGCCTATGAAAACATCAAGGGTAAAGACATGACCAAGTTCTCTGTGCATCCCATTCTTCCCCTACTCCTTGCTCTGACCTCTCCCTTGACCTGTCCTCACAGGGCATGGCTCGGATGATGGAGAAGGTGGAACGGGGGTCAGGAAGAGCCTTGTGGCCCTTCCCCAGATGTCATTCCAAAGGGTCATTCATGAAACTCGCAACAACTCCGTATCTCCAGAGAAAAGCTAGCAATAAATACGGAGTAGCAGCTGAGTGCCTGAGAGGGAACAGAAAATAGGAGAGAGGGGTTCAACAAGAAGCCGGGGGGTGGGGGGGGGACATAAAGCCAAGGAGGAGAACATGACCCTGAAGTGGTGGCCATCAGGAAGACCCTGCAGGCTTCAGAAATCAAGGCGGGGCATGATGAAAACGGATGGCATCTGAGGATGACTCCTGGGTAGCAGGACAAGTGGAGGCAGGACAGGACTGGAAGGAGGAAAATTTTTTGCTGAGAAACTTGCAGTTGTTCAAACCAGGGATGGTCAGCAGCCAGACATCAGGGTAGCATAAGTGGAAAAGAAAAAAGGAGAGACTTCAAAGAATGGAATGATACCTGGTGAACATGGGGAGGGGTGGGTGGTGAAACAGGATGGGGTTGGGGTAAAGAGGAGAGGTGGGCTGTAGTCGGGGACCCCCACAATTCCCCTTGCCTTCTCAATGCCACACAGAGGCATTGGGTCATAGGGCAGACGCAACAACAGTGTGGAGACTAGTGGAAAAGGCAAAGTTACTGCTCCCCTCTCTTTAGTTCTGGTTGAAAAACCCATAAGCCTGGCTACATTTTCTGGAAAACATCGCGGCATTAATGCTAAGACGTTCTTTATTTTCTGGCCACGGTACTTTCCCCCTTGATCTCAATTCAAAGATGCTATTGCTGAAGCAGCAAATGTAGTTTTAAAAAAATTTTTTTAATGTTTCTCTATTTTTGAGAGAGAGAGAGAGAGCACAAGCAGGGGAGGAGCAGAGAGAGAGGGAGACACAGAATCCGAAGCAGGCTCCAGGCTCTGGGCCATCAGCACAGAGCCCGACGCAGGGCTCAAACCCATGAACCATGAGATCATGACCTGAGCTGAAGTCGGAAGCTTAACCGACTAAGCCACCCAGGTGCCCCCTCTTCCCTCCTTTTCGAAGGCTGCCTCACATCCAGCCTAGCTTGTGTGATATTAGGCCGGTTCTCCTAAAACATTGATTTAACCATGCTTTGCTCCAAAATTCCACGGCCCCTTAGAATAATTCAAGGCTTTCCCTAACCATGGCCTCCTTTTGTGATTCAACTTTCTTTTTTTTTTTTTTTTAAGTCTATTTGAGAGAGAGTGCGTGGGAGGGGCAGAGAGAAAGGGAGAGAGCGAGAACCCTAAGCAGGCTCCACACTGCTAAGTGCAGAGCCCGATGCAGGCCTCGAACTCGCAAACCGTGAGATCGTGACCAAAGCGGAAACCAAGAGTCAGACGGGACACCCACCTGACAGAGCTACCCAGGCGCCCTTGTAATTCAATTTCCCAGCCAAGATGGCACCTTTATTTTTCTCTAGACGTATCATGATTTTGGTCATCCTTTGACCATAATAATTACTTCTAGAAAGCCCTTGGTCCTTCCTTACTTTACCCTCTTCCATTCTGCCTACATGGATGCTAATAAGAGCATTCCCAGGGTATGAAGATCCCATATAGGCTCTGTGAGATACCAACACTTCAGGTCTCCTGACTTCCCTTCTTCTCTTTTGTCCACCACACACGTTTCCCAGCGTGCATCCCGAGAAAACCAGGGTTTCCCATGAGGAAAACAAAAAATCCTGCTCATAAAACAGACACTGACCGAATTTCGTTGCGCAGGACTTCTCAGTGCTCCCCTTAAAATCCTAACACCTGTTGTAAATTGGCAACAGAGGGTTACAGAATGTGGCGTTTCCTAAACTTGATCGACCCAAACGCCTTGGCTTCAGGGAGCGTCTCCCAGATGCGGCATTCCATGAAATAAACTTGGGCGAAAGAGGTCGTGATGCCGTCTGAAATTTACCTCTTTCGGCCAAACGGATCTCTGGAGAGTGCGCTGACCCGCTCCTCTGAACAACGAAACGTCTGTGTCTTCTACTGTCCATCGGAACCACTGCTCACATGGCAATTTACCCGCTTTGGCTGTATGATTTCTGTCCACAACCTAACTGGAAGTCCTTAGAGGGACTGAGCCCTTCAGTGACTAGTGTGCAAGCTGCGCTCAGAGCTGACGGTCAGCGAGTGCTCGCTATGGGGGAAACGAGTGGGACTTGGCCACTATTTGCATTTTCCCAGGGCTTCGGTGATGTCTCCTTGACAGTGGCCTTGAGAGTGTCTCCCTGTAACCCTCCCCTTTGTGTTGCTTCCTGGTTTACTGGTTCACACTGAACGCCCAGGAGGTTTTTATTTTCAGGACAGATGATAGGCCATCTTCCCTTTGAAATTCTTTTCTTGCTCTCATTTGAAAAGATTTACCTGCCACTCAATTTTCTATAGATCTTATCACGTCCCCCGTCTGTCCCCAGCTTCCTATCACGCTGGGAAGCCTGGGTGTTTGGGCACGGATCTCAAGATACAGATAGAAACTTTTTTTTATCAGTGTGTGCCAAAGGCGGAGTGGAAGGCTTTTTTTGTCTATATGGTGTAAAAAAAAAAAAAAAAAAAATAATAATATTTTATTCATTTCCTGGGATTTTGAAAGCTCCAGAATCAACAGTAACGCAAGCCTGATGACATTTTGAAGGGATTTGGGTCCAAGTGTCTTGAAGAGGTTCTATTTGATCCCGTGACTTACGTTGGCACCCATAGCCGTCAAAAATGTAATTGCCCTTGAAACTTTAATAAGAGTTTCAAACCAGCGGTCTTAGGGGACTGGAAGTATCTATAACAAAAAGGATGGAAACTGACTTAGATGTGTAATGATGAACCCAGCGCTGATAGTGATTTAATCTTTGTACATTTCATTGCAGTCTTGTGGCAACATCTACAAAGGCCTCGCTCAGACCGGTGCCTGGGGCTGTTTTGATGAGTTTAATCGAATCTCTGTGGAGGTCTTATCAGTGGTGGCGGTGCAGGTATGGGGGTCGGAAGTAGGTGGGAGGCCATGGGCTTGTTGCCAGCACTGTGAAAGTCGACATCTTCTTGCTTTCAACCCTGCTTGTCCACTTCCGTGTCTCCTTCCCCCCTTGCATTTCACGTCCCTTCCTTCCTCTGCCCTCTAAGACAGACGCTGGTGCAGGATATGGGCGTCCTGTGGGTCCCTACCAAGGTGAGTCCATTTATTGGCCATGGGACTCCATTTCCTTCTCTGTAACATGTCCCCTCTGCTTCACGGGGGGTGAGGAGAGGAGCAAACAAGATGACGGAGCCCAGCTCTTTGGAAAGGCCATGGACTTTGGGAATGTCTTCCATTTTGTCACTGAGTCTGGGCAAGCTGCTCCAGCCCCCTTGGTCCAATTCACCTCATTGTATCTAAAGCAAGGATCACAGGATGAATGTTGTTGACGGAAGGAAGTCACGTTTGGGGCAGATTTATGTAAGCTGCCACTTGTCTTTCAAATTATCCAGAAAACACTCATTCAACACCTATAGCATAGTAAGTGCTACGCTCAAAACTAGGGTGAAGGGTCCCTGGTTGAGTAGGACGTGATCCCTAACTTTAAAACGACTTTAGTTCTTGAGGGGGACATGAGCATTCTTCAGTGTTCTAGAAGTGATTTAACTTCTGACTCACAATATGGGGCAAGACTGCTAGACGCTTCCTCTCTCCCTGCCTCCCTCCATTCCTTCCTTTCTATCTCCCTTCCTTCCCTTCCCTTCTTCCATGTTTGTTTATTTATTTTGAGAGAGGGAAATAGAGAGTGAGCAGGGATAGGGCAGAGAGCGAGGGACAGAGAGAGTGAATCCCAAGCAGGCCTTGCACTGTCAGTGCAGAGCCTGATGCAGGGCTCGAACTCCTGAACCATGAGATCATGACCTGAGCCGAAACCAAGAGTTAGACGCTCAACTAACTGAGCCACCCAGGCACGCCCAGACACATTATTTTTAAGCCAGGCCTTAAAAAAGGTGGAGATGATGTGGATGAGGGTAAGGGTCTTCTAGACAGAGGAAGTGAGCAGACAGAGGGGGAGAGGGAGGGGGGAAATGAGCAAACTGCTGTTGAAAGTCTGTCCTGTACCAGGTACTTTTCACATATCCTCACATCTGTACAAGGTGTACAAGGATACACACACACACACACAGACACACACACACACAGACACACACACACACGGGGTAGGGAGAGAAACCAAAGATCAGCACAGAAAAGTAACTGGTCCCAGGGCACACTCTTGGCAGGTGGCGAGGTTAGGACTTGAACCCAGCACCCCCACCCACACTGCCCAGGTGCAGGTCTAGACACAGGTATCTGTCAGATACAAGGGATAAAATGCTAGAGAAGAAAACGAGGCTTGAGAGGCAGGTTCGAACCAAACAGCAGACAGGCTTAATTAAATGCCATGATGTGTACTGTCTTCAGCAGGCAACGGGGAGCCCCTGGAGGTTTCTGAAAAAGAAGTTGCCCTCTGCCTGGCAGTGGTTTTAAGGAGGGGCTGAACAGGAGGAAGATCAGTGGCTGTGAAGTCAGTGGTCTCTCCTGGGGGTCCCGATTGGAGCTGGGGCCTCAGTGGGAGCCCCCCGGCCTTCCCCATGGCCTCCCGGTCACCCCAGCAAAGCAGAGCCTTTGCTGACACCTGCTCTGGGCTCCTTCCTGTAAGCCGGGTGCCCCTGTTTCCTGCTGGGGATGCTGTGGTTTCATAGCCCACCCCCTCCCCCCACCTCTATTGCCTCCGCTAGGCAAGGCCAGCGTAAGGGTGCTGCGCGGTGGAGAATGTTGGGTGGTGATGGCACTAGGGGCTGGCATGACGGGTGCTCCCAGCTTGTGCCTGGAGTCCATACGGTCCAACCATTTAACTTTCCCCCTACTGGTGGCTTTTATTTCCAGAGTGGCGTGTATACAGTACAGGGAAAGAGAAACAGAGCTCTGGAGGACTCTCTTTCCTTCGGGTCCAAACAAAGGGGCAAGAAAGAAGTGTAGCTTGACTGCCAGTTTTCAGAGGACAGGGGCAGCGGAAGGGAGGCGGGAGGCGCTGCAGACAGAGGGTGGTCCTCGCTGGAGAAGCCGCCTGAACCAGCATCCTGACTCCCTACTCCGCGTGCCCCGGCAGGAGCCAGCCTCCGCCCCCGTCACCCCCTCCTCCAGCGTGCTGACCCCACGCAACGTGCTGTCCCCGTCCAAGCAGGCTGGACTCGGAGCTGGGGGCAGGATCGCAGCCACCGCGAGGCGGAACAGCAGTGGAGCTCACAGCACCAGCTGATTCCAAGGCCCCCCCCCACGCCCTCCCACTTCATCTCCGGTTGCCGCTGGGAGCCATAAGCGGTCAGGGGGCTCCGCAGGGTCCCTTCACTTCCCCCACGCCTCCCAAGGTCATCCGGTCTTCCAGCCCTTGATTTTGACAGCCAGTCTGGTGCTCCCATTCATGGGTTCCTGTCTGGCCTGCTGCTCGGTGAGGCTCCTGCAGGTTGCAAAACCGAGGGCTCTTCCGTCCCCGGTGCTGATCCCTTTCCTTAGGACCGTTGGATTCCGCAGGAGTTAGTAGGAGCAGTAAGTCGAGCGGCTGGCCAGAGCACTCTCTTGGCCTGAAAGCCCTTGACTAGCTTGGGTCGCGGGAGCCGATGGTGTGTGTTTCCAGGCTGCTGCCCCGGTGGCTTGAGGTCAGCTGTGGCACCTGGCGAGTGCCACAGACCAGGGGCATTTGGTTTTCCTGGCGAGCTGCTGCTTCAACACTTACCAGCACGCCTCTGCTTTGGAAGAATGCACGTCAGGGCCGCCAGATTTTTTTTTAATTTTAGAGAGCCTCTGAAAGTCCAGATTTTTATGTAAAAACATCTCTAGATTTCTTGGGGCGCCCGGGTGGCTCAGTCGGTTCAGCGTCCGACTTCGGCTCAGGTCACGATCTCGCGGTCTGTGGGTTCGAGCCCTGTGTCGGGCTGTGCGCTGACAGCTCGGAGCCCGGAGCCTGCTTCAGATTTGTGTCTCCCTGTCTCTCTCTCACTGCCCCTCCCCCGCTCATGCTCTCTCAAAAATGAATAATGTTAAAAACATTTTTTTTAAACATCTCCAGGCTTCTCAAAGTTGTCAACTCACTCAATTAAAAAACAAAACAAAACAAAACAAAAAACCAAACACACAAAAACCAAAACCTGAGCCGGACCAAGAAAGCACGGTGCCGGCTGCATTCACCTTGCCGACTTAGAGCCCAGTTTGCGCCCCTTCGCGGCCTGTGTGAATTTCAGGATAGAAGATAGAGTGACACGAGTAAAATCAAGCTTTCTCAGAGTACTAAATCTCGGCCCGCAGTGGGTTCTGAGAATTGGGACGGAAGTCTAAGCTGTTCCCTGCCCTGGTGGCCGTTGGGATCGAGGACTGTCATTATAATGTGCGCCTGGGGCTTTTCTCCTTAAGTCGCCTACTGCAGATAACGGGCAGCTCTCGTATCACCCGGGTTTTTATCTCCTTGCCCGCCATCCTCTGTTCATTCTACCTAGGTGGTGCCCACCTCCCTCCTCTCTGCTTGTCTGACTCCCTGTCCCCTCTCTCCTGGCTGCTGGCCCCAGACCTCAGAGGGCCTCTCTCGTGCTCTCCAGCCCGGCTGCCTGGCTGTGACTGCCCTCACTTGAGTAGTTACACCCGTGGTGTCCCAGCTCAGCACTGGGGGCCTGCCAGAGGGCCATCTCGCCGTGTCCCTCCGAGAAGCCCAGGGGAAGAGCCAACAGGAAAGCAGTGAGAGCCAGACCGGGGTCAGCCCAGAGCTCATCTCGCGTTCCAGAGATGCTGTGAGCAGCCCCGCGTGCAGCTGGGATTTGAAAAGAAACAGGTTCTTGTGGGGTGGGGTGACCCGGGCAAGGGGCGGGGAAGTGGTTGTCAGCGTGGGTCACGTTTGAAACTGCACAGCCGGTATTCAGCCCCGGTTCTGCCACTTAACTAAGCTGTGTGCTTTGGGGCAAGTCCACGTCTCAAGCTCTCCGTCTGTAAAGAGGGTTAATAACAGTACGTGCCAGATGCAGTTGTAATAATTATTAAACGAGTTAATACGTGTAAGAGCCCTTGAAGCCCTACGGATAGGAGGCGTGCGACAAATATTAGTCACCGTGATGGTGCTGATTATGGTGGTGGCCATGATGTTGGTGATCACTATTGTCGTTGGCTGAACACGGCCGGAAACGGGTTGAAGGGAAGCAGAAGGCAGGGGGATACAGAGCAGGGAAAGAGGGTCCACGCCCAGGTCTATCCAGTCTCTAGGACACCCTTCGCTCCTTCTCAGCTGGCCCAGCCTCAGGCTCTCTTCCCAAACTTAGCGTCCCAACCGGTGAGGCAAAACCCAAGAGCCCGTTGGTCCCCGGGGCGCAATGGATGAACACTGCGAATTCACCCGATCCTGAAACTGCCCGACAGGATGTCCTAGGAGGTTCACCAAGATCAGTTCCTTTTTGCTTCTGGAATTAAATGAGTTCCACCCGGAATTCCCGGGTGCTTTCACACTGCAGTCTAGGAACACACCCCGTGGGAGAGACGGTTCTCAAGAAAGTGGTCTGACAACAGCCTGGGCAGAATTGGAGGCTGTACCACTTAAAATCATATACCCGTCCAAGGGGAAAATTGCACTTAATTATTCACACAGTCATCTAGGCTGGCATATTGGTTCAGAAGCCGCACCAGCTGGGACAGTCCTCCTCCACCCTCCCCGCCCCTCCCCTCGGCTCCTTGCCTGCCTGTCTGCGCTCTTCTAGTAACTTCCACAAAAGCCGCGTGTGCGTCAGTGTTCTCGTAGGTGGGTATTTTCCTGTTTCTGTCCGATGGGTCAAGCAGAATTACATACCCAACGGG